AAGCTGCGCGGTGGGGTACCGTTGCATAGCCACATCAGCGGCCTCACTGAGATATTCAAACAATCGAGTTGTCTCCTGGTCACCTGTGTGCGATCGGTAGACACAGGAATACAGGATCTTTTCGATTCCTGTATCTACGATAACCCAGATCGTAGAAAATGTGTGGTCTTCAAGGTGGCGGAGGCGCTGGAAACAGAGGTCATTTCGCACGTACAAACAGACCCCGGCCCGTGAGCTAAAATTATGCTCCAACGTGTAGCCGGGATAGTCCAGGTACTCAGCACTCAATGGACATTGAATCTGCGTCTCCGTCAGAAAGAGCATGTGCGGCTGCGCAGTCTCGAGGTGAAAGTGGACTGATGAGAGATTTGTGTGCAATCCTCGGATATTTGTGAGGTGCACTTTTAATGAGGGGGAGTGCAACCGCTTAAAAACATTACTCTTTTTTCGACTTTTCATGTAAGTATTTTTTTTTTATGGAAGAGTGAATAGGATGGAGAATGGCAGTTGAACGAGGCGCTGCACGAGCCTGGCGGTGATATTGATGATGTCATGTCACAGAGGGCTTAGTCTGGAGACTGCGGGGACGCCCGAACCCCCCCAAGGATCGCCATCGGGCCCCCTCCCCTGGTCGCCAACCAGCACGATGGAGCCACCCTGGGATTTTTCACAGATGGCGGGGCAGCCTTTCATGGGTGGCTAGCCCACTAGTTGGGCCCCCTACTGTCTGCGGTCGGCCAGCGGCAAGCCGTGCTTCGGATCCCGCTACCCTCCGCGACTAAGCTCTCGACACAACAAACAACAATTCACCACCAACACGGCTAGTGTACAACACAACTATTCAGACCCATTCTCCATACGGCTTCATCAGCCTCGACATGCCGGAACGCGCTGTTGGGCGCTTGGCGGCACGACTTCTGCTGACGGGTGGTAACCGTGCCGTCGGCCGATGTTGAGGCCTACCACCGCGACTACCACGGTGTTCGGTAGTTAGTCCCTTAGTCGCCTTTTACGACACCCACGGGAAGATATGGGGTGGCCTTATTCTAATTGCCGTAGCCACACAGCAAAAATACATATATATTATATATAATAAAAAATAAAAAAACAAAACAAAAGGCAAGACAAGACAGCTTACAAAGATAAGTTAAAAAATAACAATAATAATAATACTCGTATAGTGTAAGTAAAGTCAAAAACTAAAAAAAGTATTCTTTTAGCAGTTTTTTAAATATGTACTAGAAAATTGTATGTTAATAAGGGCTACAGAAAAATCTGCATTAGCTAGTCTTTCTCCTAAGGTACACTCGCAATAACTATTTATATCTATTTAAAACATACGTAGGGATCCGAATGAAGCGAGTGTACGTCTCTAGTTACTAGTATAAAACACTTATACTTTCACTAGCAGAACTCGCGGCTTCGCTCGCGCTATAACTACTAAAAAAAAACTCTAAAAAGGTAGTTTCATACAGGCTTTCATCCCCTATTTTACCCCCTTATAGGATGAATTTCAAAAATGCTAAAATACGTACTTATTTATTTAATTTTATTGAAGAACGATAATACAAAGTTTCAAGTAATTTTGATCATAAATATTTTTTCGATTGTATTAAAAGTTTAAAACGTGTATTCCCGTGAGAATTAGATAATCTCCCGCGGTAAAAAGTAGCCTATGTCACTCTCCAGCCCTCTATCTCCGCACAAAAAATCACGCCAATCCGTCACTCCGCTTCGACGTGAAAGAAGGACAAACAAAAAAACAAACACACTTTCAAATTTATAATATTAGTATGGATATAAGTCATATTTAAAAAAGGCACACAGTTATAACTGTTGCATGAAAATAAAGTGTAGATAGTAGGTAGGTACTTAATAGTCATTTATACCTAGGTTGAACTAGTTTTTTAACCTGTAAATAACTTCTCAAAAGAAGTTCTTTTTAGAAGTCGTTTAAAAAGTTATTAAATATTTTATATTATTAAATTATACCTCGCATTTTATTTTCCCACCAGCAACATTTAAATTTTAAATCAAATGATTCATAAGTACCTCATAATACATATATTGTATAGGTACTTAGTTACACAATACACATGTATCCCCATGAATCACTTTTACATTAATTAATAATAAATCTTTTAGGACAAAATACAAAATACACAGATTATAGTTACATTAAAATTAAAATTATTTTAAAAACGACATGAAAAGTCATTAAAAAGTAAAAACCTAAAAGTAATGGCGGTAGATAATTTGAAAATATCGTAAACTTTAAAAAAGTTATTACTTATTAGCTGTATTAAATTTCTAGACCCTAGTTAGTAGTTATACTTTATTCACAGCTCATTTTACCTAAACGTATATTTTATATTTATGTATGACTCTCCCCCACTTTGCTCATGCTCAGGTTTGTCCCTAGGTAGGTACATTACGCTTAGTATGGAACAGTTTTTTTTTTCATTTTTTTTAGTGATTTTTTCCGATGTTTCAATAGTTATTCTGCTATTCCGGGTGATCACACATCCAACAAAACAAAGATCATAAAAATCGGTCTAGCAGTTCTCGAGCTATAAGTGTTGTGACAAACCCGATTTTGTTTTATAATTTATTTATATTTATTATTTATAATAGTAAATACATAAGTAATCACAGTAATTGCGAAAGTTCGTATGTTGTATACCTTTGCCTGAGTTTATGTATATGTCAATGTGTGTGTACTGTGTATGTTTGTTACACTTTTACGCTGAAACCGCTCGACAAATTTGATTGTTTAGTATAAAAATTGTCTATGACGTAGAGTAACACATAGGCATTTTGATAAGAATGTTATGCATGATAGGTACTAATTAATATATAAGTAGGTAAATATTTACATATGTAGCAATCACATCTTTACGTAAATATATATCAGTTATGTAATGTTTTAGATGTATATATTTGTGCAAAGCAAAACGAAGAATAGGTAAATAGGTATGTATTTTACACTGGCTGGTATCGGTGGTATCGTTTCCAGTTGATTTTGTATGTAAATATATGAATAGCAGAGTGACTACTGTATGTCAGGATATAATGCAGTATGGTATTACTTAAATTCATTATCCTTACATATATAGAAGTTTCGGTCGGCAAGTGTCGGTCTGTTCATAAGTGTACTCTATATACTTGTGAACTATTGAACAAATTTGGATGCAAATTTTGTATCATTGCATTTCTTTAGAAATAGAAAGATTTTAATAATGAGTCGAATCAGTCATAGATGGATGTAAATAAATGAAATCAATGCGTGGCAAATATGTTATATGTAGAGCACTAATAGTTGTACAAAAATACACGAAACATTATATTAAATACTTATAGATACAGTTACTATAAAAAAGTAAGTATTTTTTTGACTAAGTGATGTTTAGCTGTAAAAATTTATGAATTTTTCATAAAAAACCATTTTTCTCTAAAAATTAAAAGCTAGAAAATTTTTAGTTTCCTAGTTCAGTTACAGAAAATTTATAAAAATTATGGATGAGTCAAAATAATTCAGATCTCAGAGCAAAAATTTACGGTCACCAAATTATTAGGTACTATATAAAGCTGAAAAGTTTTTTTGTTACTTTAAATGTGGGCGAAGTCATGAATACTTGTTAGTTCAATATAAAATCATTAACTGCTATTTCTAAATTGTTATCTGGTATTTTACACATGTTGTTGTAATCCTCGGTAGTATAGTGGTAAGTATCCCCGCCTGTCACGCGGGAGACCGGGGTTCGATTCCCCGCCGGGGAGGTTCTTTTTGTAATTTTGTAAGCGTTATAATTTATAAATAAACAATATTAGCAATATGATATATAAATAACACTAAAAAAAGCACAAATGTAGTTTTTTTTTGTATTACATAAAATATTAATTACATTATACAATCTAGACAAATACTAAAAAAACCTTATTAAATAATATTTAGAATTATGAACAATATAAAATATGTATTTGTGTGTTTATATTACGTAATTCTTCAATTTAATTCTTATATTCTTATAGGAAGGTATTCGTATACTCTTTATTGCCTATTAATTTCGTATTATAAACACTTCTATCATTATTAAATAAAACTATCTTTTCGGATTATTTCGCGGATTTATTTTGATTTTTGGTTCCCGACGTTTCGAATGCTTTACAGCATCCATGGTCACGGGAGAGACTGAAATACTCCGCGAAATAATCCGAAAAGATAGTTTTATTTATTTAATAATGTCAAACATTCGCGTAAATCTAAGAAAGTATTATCACTTCTATCATATGAAAAGGAACTGTATGAAATATTTAAAACTAAAGAACCATATTAGTTTAATATTTAAAGTTATTTTATGGTATTTTTATAAATTGATTGATACACAAATATTCAAAGTAGTCATCCTTGTTTTTCTCTGACAGCGCCATCTATTTAAGATCATTGTCCCTAAAAGTAACCACAGATTCACAGTGTTCTTAGGTCCTTCATAATACTCTATAAATAAGTAACGAAATTAAATTTTCTTTGATGTTTCCTCTTAAAATGTATAGTCAGTATCAGTAAGCATGTTCTTATGTATTTTTAGTTTTAAATATTGTATATTCCTAGTCTACTATAATTTAACATTAATAACTACATATGAATTCAAAAATTATCAAATATTAATAGTTATTTTTTTAAGTTTAATTTGTAAGTAGATTTATTTATTGTTATGTTAAAATTATGATCCACAAAATTTACATCAACGTAAAGTATTTTATATAAATAGTCTGTTGCTATGCTACCTGTCAAAACAGTTTTTGTTTCACTCATTTTTCGTTTCATTCGCGCTCAATGCGTCGGCTCTTGCGATGCGCTATGCTGCTGTGACTGTTGCTTGTCTATGGGAGTACTCGTTCGTATCGAATTAGTTTAGTGGCTTGTATTTTATGATAAGTGAATTAAAGGCGAATAATTTATTTCTATGCATGACAGTGAATAAAGTAACTATTCTAAAATGGCTTTGGAGGGTGTGAAAAGTGAAAAAAGTGAGGAAAACAACGGTAACCTGCCGGACGGCAAGGCGAACGGGATCGACAACAAAAGTAAACAGGTAAGAATCAAATAGGATTTTCGCGATTTTTTATTTATAAGTCCAGTTATTTTTTCATGTATTAGCAAATATTTAAAAATCTAACAATAAATAATATTTCTCAACGGAATCCCAAGCGTAATTTATGGACGCAAAATATTGCTGAAGTAGTAGCGAAACTAAAACGGCATAATTTTGCGCAGCTCTAGTAGCTTTATTGCAGGTTGCGACTGGAACACTTGGATATAGGTGTCACTAAGCTCACGGAAGTGACCTATTTCTTGTATTCTCAGCTTTCTATATTATTAAATTATTACGTCTATACTTATTATTATTATTAGGTAATTGTAACGATTTTATTGTTTGGGAGAGAGAGGATGTTAAATTAACTAGATTATAATTTTACATTAAACATACTTAAACGAAAAAAATAATAATCCATTTAAATATTTCGTAAAATTCTATGTATTGCTGTATATAAGTATAGATTTTAATTTTACATCTCAAATTAGAAGTTTCATCTTCTAAAATGGGTACATATTTTAAACTTAACATTTAAAAAAAAACAAATATTTTTTCATATTCAAATATGAAAAAATTCAATATTTTTTAAGCATTTTCTATGTTTCATATTAGATCGTCTAACATATAAATGCAATTATATATTCATGATGGACAAATTTTCATAAGTGCTAAAAAGGCCATATTGATTGACCTGGCCCCGTAGCACAATTAAGAACATTATCTATGTGAGATCATATCACATAATTTGTACTTTAGGTGTTACCTATTACATAACAGAATTTATTCTGATTATTTTTAAAACATTAGATATAATAATAATTTTAACTTATGTCGTAGAAATTTTTCAAATAACTTAGCAATTAATAGGTACTATCAGTGATCAAAAATGAGATAAAAAAAATGTTACATTGGATTTACTAAATTTTTTTGCCTTTCTATTACATTCTTAATATAAGAAATATATAAAAAAACTATGTATTTATTTCTTGATATAATTGTCTTGTTTCGAAATGAAAAAGTGATTCTTTTGAGTTTTACAAAATATATTTAATAATTTTGCATGCTTTTCATAGATATTCAGCATATATTTTGATTCATCATATGAATTAAATAATTATTCAATTTTAATTATTACTAAGAAAAGATAGCTGCAGTTCTATCAATTGCCAATTACATAATATTATATACTTTGGAATTTGGATTTACTTATTTACTCATGAAGATAAACTTTAGCAAATTATTTAAGTCATATTCTTGAACTTATAAAATCTTACATAACACAACATTTACGAAATATATTAATGTAATTCATATATATATATATATATATACGAAGTATATAATTCAGTATTGCTAATTATTGCCTAATATAAAAATCACTTAGCATTAAGAAAAAAATTATAACATATTTAGATACTAATAATCTTTGAAGAACTGGTGTAATGGAAACTAACATACATAATATTTATAACTACTGTAGGTATATTTCATCTCAGGACTTATCAATGATAAGAGTATAAGAGAATATTGAGTAATAATACTTAATACTTATGTCTACTTCATAACAGATAATATATAGAATATAGAAGGTTTGATATATTATCTAAGTACTTTTGATATTTTGACACAATATCCTTTATAATGCTGAAAATTACTTGGCTGATACTTATACAATGAAAAGCTAGGCTGTCTTGTTGGTCTAGTGGCTAGCATTATGGCTGCAAAACCGGAGGTCCTTGGTACAAGTCCCGGGCCAGGCTAATTATAGTCATTAGGTTTTTCTATCAAGAAATTCATGTAAAATCAGATATCTAAATATTTAAATAGAATATCCTATATTATTAAGTCTAAAGGCGAAATAGTTGTGTAGAGTATATTTTTGTAACCTGATTTTTTACTACAACATGTGAAATCATCGATAATTAATATCAGTTGGGAAGTTGCCGAGGCTTACTACATAGTATAGTAGTAAAGAACATTCTTTAGATAGTGCATGTTCGAATCGATCTTATGCTGATCTCTCAAGTCTCGCCGGTCGTTTTGAATTGTCGTTCTGTTATAGCTTGAAGGCGAAAAGAACAGATAGTGAACCTTGTCTTTGCGTACTCTTGTGCCTGAACTATAGACTCCGCACATGAGTCCTACTGAGATTGGCCGTCGTGGCCACAAACGGACAGAACATTATTATTTATGGAAAAGCTGTAATTTTTTAATAAACAAGTCCTTTGAGGAAGTTGTAATGATAGAAATATTTAAAGCAAATATTAATTATCTATAGTCACTTTTTGTCAGATTTAAACCTTCACTGGCACAAAACCAACACCTATGCAGTGTTGTTTCATGACTGCAATGCGTTGAATACTTGCCAAAATGAATACTTCATTGACTTTTGTCAACCTTACGTTTTGATTTTAATTTTGGCTAATAAGAGCCCTGATAATTATTTCTCCATCATCTTAATTGTTTGTTTTCTTAAATAAATTGCCATTTAACACAAAAACAACCTTTTTTTAAACTTATCTAATTTTGATACAAGAAAAACTTTAGTACATTTTTAGTACTAATTTAAAATTTATATGTGATTTTTTATCCACAATGGAGCTTTAACTATAATAAACTGTAAGAAAATACTTAATACTATATTATTAATAATTCAAGACGTATAAATACATAGTCGTATTTTCTTTCATATTTTGTGTAAGTCTATCTAATCTAACAATGAAACTTTTATATTATAAATAATAATCCATTCTTTTATCAAGAGAAAGATAAAAGACATTTTAGAGGTAAATAGTAAAAAAAATACTATCGTTGACGCAATTTATCAATTGCGCCGGCATTATTATATATATATATCAAAATAAAAATCACAGCTTATCTCTATGCACCTTTTATCTACGCTTCCGTTCCCATGCGGTACTTTATTTGGGGCATACACACATCTGCTCCACAAAATGTATAATGTAAGCGCTTTTTCGATATATAATCTCGATTTTCGCGTCGTTTTTAAGTAGTATGTAAGTTTCGCTTATAAAACTAATAAGCAATACTTAATTTAAAAAAAAATGTTCTACAAATGAGGGATAGCATATTACTTAGTATGTATATTATTTTCCTTATCGTATCAAGGGATGCAAGAAATTTCTTGTTATTTATTATTGGTATCAATGTGGTTTTGTAACATTTTATGGTTGAAAATTAAAAAGTTTTTAAATCATTTTTATATCAGAAATGTTGAAAGAAAATTCTTAAAGTAAGATATATAGATCGGCCGCGATCAAATGTAAATTCTAGCTGTAATAAATACTACCTTTAAAACATTTTATCCTTTTGGCCGATGCATATTAGGTAAATGACGGGTCTCAAAAAGTAACTGGATGCTTGCCTTGAACAAATATTTATCTGAAACTCGTATGATATCCATAGTATTTGTTTGATATGTATTTCCGTCCATAAGAAACCTCTTTATATAATTTTGTACACACATTCAGTCAGAGCTTTATCAGTTTAGTTCCCAAGAGAGTATTAGTTCTCGTAAATATATATTATAGAAACGTATATATGAAAAATATTACTTTTATGAAATATTAAAATATGTAATAACAACGTCTCCCCGCGACTCCGCCCGCGTAGTTCAATTATGAATCACTATATTTTTATCAATTTATAGCTTATGTGTTATTCTGATGTATAAACTATACCTATTAGTTATTACTGTACAGTTTCACCAAAATCTGTTCAGTAGTTTTTGTGTGAAAGACATTAAAAAATATTCATATATTCTCTGCCTATACCAATTCTCTACTCTAGACACTTGAATACGAGAAGTAGTATAGATTCATAATAATAATCAAATGTAATCTTTGCATGACTATTGTATTATTTTTGTCGATGGTACAGTTGGGGTAAACTAACATCTGCTATTGCACAATATGAGAACATAATGCCAGCTCTATTGCTAACTGTAGTCGCCCAATTACGTATTCTCGCTCATCACTACGTTTACCGTAGAAACACGCATTAGCCTGATTTTTAAAGTGACTTGATTCAGCTTCTCTCATTTAAAATTGCTGTTTTTTTATGTATATAATTGTACACACGTCACGTTTTTAAGTATATTCCAATAATTCGGCAACAATTTCTTAAAAAATGACGATGCTGTGTGATTAATATTATAGAGATGGATATACAAATGTACATACACAAGTTAAATTTAAAGTTAAGTTTGCAATAATTTCCAAAAATGATATTTAAGTACAAAAGGAATGCGAGTATCAATCCATTTCTTAAATTTTTTTTTATTTGTGATCTCAACCGTAACCTGATTTAAATAATAATTAATGAAACTTTCGAGTCGTGGGAATATTTAAAGTAGAAATAAAAATAACAGCTTCTAGAATTTAGTCACGCATGTCACGTAAAAATGGCTGCAAGAATTTAATGAGATTTATCCATGAAGAATTTATATAAAACTACCGAGTTATCCTTGCTTCGCTCGGATGTATCCCTAAGTACTACTCATTCCGTAATACATTGTTTTCATATATGTATGTCCATTGGTTGACGCGGCGCGCGCCAGTAAAGCTCTTTTACAATCGTCGTCATATTTCAGTCAATTTAAACAAAAACCTAACGAATGAGATAGATTATAGTCTGGAATAACACAGGATACTTTTCCCGATCCCGAAAAATGTACGGTTCCCGTGGGATAGGTTTTTTCCTAGTCTAGTATATATATACATAGTATACAAAACAGCGGACAAGAGCTAGTACATGAACAAAACGAAATGAGCTATATTGCAAGGTAATTTCGATATGGCTTCTGCCTATGACCGATTTACACCTGCACGTATTATTAGATGCACTATTTTCTATCGTGACAGTGCTCTAATATGTTTAACTCTCCTAATGAAACAATACGATAATAAAACTTGTGACGTATATAAATAACATTAACAAGTAGTTTCCAGTTGACCAGATCGATACGTGTATTACAA